TTATGAGTGAGAGAGAGAGAGAGGGTGTGTGTGTGTGTGTGTGTGTGTGTGTGTGTGTGTAACCTCTAGGGGGGAGAGAGAGAGAGGGAGACACAGAATGTGAAGCAGGCTCCAAGCGCCAAGGTGTCAGCACAGAGCCTGACGTGAGGCTCGAAGCCATGAACCATGAGATCATGACCTGAACCAAAGTTGGATGCTTAACTGACTGAGCCACCCAGGCACCCCAAGACACCTCGCTTTTTAATGAGAGTTAACATTACTATTGTTGGAAAGCAAAACCACTTGCTATAACGAATAAGATAATATTAAAGTGAACAGTTAATTATTAAAATAAAAAATTTTTTGCACTTTCTAAAATACCCCTTTCATGAAGTTCTGGCCCTGGTAACCCAGAGGTTACACTCTGGGGACCTGGGGCCTGTCTTTCTGCGACCTTCCTTCACAGCCATTGTCATGCCATGTCACTGGGTCCTTCAAAAGGAAGAGAAAGCAAATTTGATATGAATGTGAAAATGTCTGGCCAGTGTCCAGACATGTCTCTTATACAGTCCTGATGTCCCCAACGGCAGTCTTCCCGTGTAACATTTCTTAGGACTTCAGGATCCATGAAGAACACCCTGTGTGAGCAGTTCCTCTAGGATAGCCTGCCCCACGGGGTTGGACTCAGTTTCCACAATCATTTTCTTTTTTTTTTTTTTTTAATATTTATTTATTTTTGAGAGAGACAGAGAATGAGCAGGGGAGAGATAGAGACATAGAATCTGAAGCAGGCTCCAGGCTCTGAGCTGTCAGCACAGAGCCCAATGTAGGGCTTGAACTCACAAACTGTGAGATCATGACCTGAGCCTCAGTCAGTTGCTTAACTGACGAAGCCATCCAGGGGCCCCACAATCATTTTCATGAGGTACACATCACTCCTAGAGGAGCCAGATATGTTTCTAAAGGACTGAAGCCCTTCCTTCCCAGCACCTGAAGCTGGAAGACTGGGAACTGGGCCCACTGGATCTCTGAGAGAAAGGGAATTCGAGATGGGGCTTATAGGTGACCTGGGATTTCTTGGGAGATGGGAGGTGGGAGCAAAGGTAGGGGAGACTCATGTGTGGTGGAGTCAGAGAAACGGCCCCACAGAGGAGGGAGGCCTGTGGGCATCTCACTTCCAGGCCTCTGTGGGCCTCGGTCAGACCTCAACACATGTCCCTCGTGAGATCTGCCATACCACCTGTGCTTTTATTTACTTAATACTTTTAATACACTCACTTTTTTTTACTTAAATGTTTTATTTATTTATTCATTTACCTAGATGTTTTTTAAGAAAACTTTTTTTTTAACATTTATTTATTTTTGAGAGACAGAGCGTGAGCAAGGAAGGGACAGGGAGAGAGACACACACACAGAATCCTAAGCAGGCTCCAGGCTCTGAGCTGTCAGCACAGAGCCCGACGCGGGGCTCGAACTCACGAACCACGAGATCATGACCTGAGCTGAAGTCAGCTGCTTCATCAACTAGGCCACACAGGTGCCCCTACCTGGATGTTTTAAAAGGTAGTTTTGTCCCAAGTGTTGATGTGGATGTGGAGAAACGCGAGCCCTTGTGCATTGTTGGGGAGAATATAGACGGTGTAAGCTCTATGGAAAACTGGTATGGCGGTTCCTCAAAAACTTAAACATAGAACCTGCCATATGATCCAGCAATCCTACTCCTGGGTATTTATGCAAAAGAGTTGAAATCAGGCTCTTGAAGAGATATTTATACACTCGTGTTCGTAGCAGCGTCATTCACAGTAGCCAAAAGGTGGAAGCAATCCAAGTGTCCATCAGTGGTTGGGCAAACAAAATGTGATGTATACATACAATGGAACATTATTCATCCTTAAAAATGAAAGAAATTCTGACACATGCTACACCATGTATGAACTTGAAGGACATGACGCTGAGTAAAATAATCCAGTCACAAAAGGTCAAATACTAAAAAGACAAAAGAAAAAACCCTAAAGATTAAATCCTGTGTGACTCCATGTATGTGGGTCTATAAATGTCTGTATGTATATGCCCAGAGTAGTGAAATTTTACAGAAAAGGAAAATAGGATAGTGGTTCCAATGGGCTGGGGGAGGGGGCGGTGGGAAGCTCTTATGTAACAGGGACAGAAATTCCATTTTACAAGATGAAAAGAGTCCTGGAGATGGATGGTGGTGATGCTTGCACAACAATGTGAATGTACCAAATGCTGCCGAACTGAACACTGACGAATGGTTTAAGATGATCAATTTTATGTTTTGTGTATTTTAACTGCAATTTTTTAAAGGTAGCTTTGTACCACTACTATACATGAAAAGACTCTTGCCCTAAAGGAAACTGTCCATAAGATTAAAAGCAATTACACTCCCAAATGAAGGTGGTGTTTTCGAGGCCCAAATGCCCATACCTTCTGAGGCTATGCACAGAGACAACCTCATGCTGCTCTATTTAAAAGGGAGATTGGCAAGTGCCAGAAAAGTGTTGTAAGTGCTCTAGAAGCAACTCTCCACTTGACAAATTCAAAGTATGGGTACCACACGCTTTGAAAGACCCTTCACCTGAAGCATCTGACTTCAGCTCAGGTCATGATCTCACAGTTTGTGAGTTCAAGCCCCATGTTGGGCTCTGTGCTGACAGCTCTGAGCCTGGAGCCTGCTTAGGATTCTGCATCTCCCTCTATCTCTGCCCCTCCCCTGCTCATGCTCTGTCTCTCTCTCTCAAAAATAAATAAATGTTAACAAAAATTTTTTTATAAAGAAAAAAAGACCCTTGTAAGGACAATGGAGTAGGGTGCATGAGCCTGTCAAGCAGAGGCAGGCCAGGGCATGCCAAGTAAGCAGAGCAGAGCGCAGAGATCCCCAGCCGGCCCGGGGCTATCTTTTGGGCAGGGAACTCCACGTCTCAGGTGCCTGAACGTGAGTAACTTGATCCTGAGAACTCTTTGCTCCATGAGGAGGGGGTCCAGCTGCCAGAGAGCCAACGTAGATCCCTCTTAAAGCACTAGGCTCAGGGAGGAGGCCTGGTTGCTTCAGTCTGGGGGCTGTAAATCCTGGAGGCAAGTAAATAAACACAATCCAGCCTCAATATAGCCAGGACATAGACTAGACAGATAATGGCAGTGAGGAAGGAAGGGAAGATTTAGAAGGAGAAATTGTGAAGGACACTGCTAAAAGTCACCCAAAGGTATCTGATATTTTAGCCAACACCACATCCACACTCTTTTCCTGGAAACATGCCTCCATTTCCCTTTGGGAAGCAGTCTCTTTCTGGGATACTCGGCACATTTGGTCGGTCAAGGCTAACTCCGCCCCTTCCCACTATAGGATGAAGAGGATCCGGGCGGGGCCAGTCAGGAGATGGTATCCTACTGTTAGGTATTGATCCAAAGGGTACAAAAACACAGATTCAATGGGGGCATATGCATCCCAAAGTTTATAGCAGCATTATCAACAATAGACAAATGATGAAGATAGCCCAAATGTTCTTTGACTGACGGATGGATGTGAAGATGTGGTATGTATACATTCAATGGGAATTTTACTCAGCCATCAAGAAGAATGAAATCCTGCCATTTGCAACAACATGGATGGAACTAGGGTACACTATGCTAAGTGAAATAAGTCAATCAGAGAAAAGCAAAGACTATATGATTTCACTCATATGTGGAATTAAAGAAACACAACAGATGAGCATAGGGGGAAGGGGGGAAAGAGAGGAGAGGGAAATAAACCACAAGAGACTCTTAATGACAGAGAACAAACTGAGGGTTGACAGAGGAGGTGGGTGAGGGATGTGCTAGATGGAATATGGGTATTAAGGAGGGCACTTGTGATGAGCACTGGGTATTGTACATAAGTGATGAATCACTGAAGTCTACTCCTGAAACCAATATTGCACTGTATGTTAACTAAAATTTAAATTCAGAAAAAAGATGTTATCCTTCCTCCTCACCAGGGAGCAATAATGACTACACAACCTACCATTCTATAAGCTACTGGATTCAGCTACACCTGATGCAAGATCCATCCCTCTCCTTCGTTTATGTTTTAGAAGGGTACACAGCTGACAAGATGTGTGTGTTGTGGGCTGGGCAGGTCTCACTACAATCTCCTCCTCGTCCAGAGAATCTGCAGGTTTCATCGCCAGTAGAGATCCTTCTCAACCACATAGGTGTTCTTAACAGCTCTGGGTGTTGCGGGCCCCCGCGTCCCGTCACCGCGGCACATCTCTTCCCCTCCCCTATACTCCTTGGTGTCAATTATATGTGACTGGTAGTTGACCAGCTGAAACGTGAACTCTTCACAGACATTTAATTTTTAAAATCAATCGTACAGCTTAAACTGTTTTTCTTTCTGCATTCTCGTCGCAAACTTTTCCACAGGCCTTTGCAAAGCTCCCAGGCTCCGCGCCCTGTGCCCATCACGCGCGGACTAACGGACATGGCTGAGCAAGCTCCTGCCCTCGTGCAGGCGGGCGGGAGCGCACAGGGCCTCACACGCAAGCGCGCGGGGGCGGGGCTGCGCCCCAGGCCTGCGCGTTGCCGCTGGGCCGGCTGGGAGGGGGCTGGGCGGAGCGGCGGCGGGAGCGCGCCGGAGACGGCAGCCGGGCTAGCGGGACTTTGTGTTCCACAGACCCTCCTTCGGGCGCATCCTCTCGGAGCCGCCCGCCCAAACCTTGCCGCTGCCAAGCGAGTCGCCCCCAACTCAGCGGGACCAGCCCCGGGGATGAAGTGGGCCCGTCCCCACGGCCCGAAGGGGGCCCCCAGGAGACGACCGCGCGCTGTCTGACCGGCCGTCCTCTCCAAGGGGCCCATGGGCGCGTCCCCGCAGGCGGGCCGCGGACGTGAGGGCGGCGAGCGGCGGGGCCGCGGCGCCGGGGAGGGCCGTGCTCGTGCCCGGCCCCGCGCAGGCCGCGCGCGCGCGCTCCCGCCGCAGCGCCAGCCGCGCCCGCCCCGCCTCTCCGCGCCGGCCCCGGAGCCCGGTCCGCGAGCGGCGGCGGCGGCAGCCGGAGGGACGATGAGCGGCGCGGCGCGGGCGGGCCCGGCCCGGCTCGCCGCGCTCGCTCTGCTGACCTGCAGCCTGTGGCCGGCGCGGGCGGACAACGCGAGCCAGGAGTACTACACGGCGCTCATCAACGTGACGGTGCAGGAGCCCGGCCGTGGCGCCCCGCTCACGTTCCGCATCGACCGCGGGCGCTACGGGCTCGACTCGCCCAAGGCCGAGGTCCGCGGCCAGGTGCTGGCGCCGCTGCCCATCCACGGAGGTGAGTGCCGGGCGGCGGAGAGAGGAGCCGGCGCGGGGGCGGGCGGCGGCGCCGGGGCGCGGGGGCGGCGGGCGCGGCGCCCCCCACCCACCCCTGCTGGGCTCGCCGCTCCCTCCGCTCGGCCGGTGGCCCGGGGGTCCAGGTTTGCGTCGTGTGCAGCCCGGCCTGCTCACGGCTGGGAATAAGGCTCCAGACGGGTTTGGGGGGGTTTCCTCTTCTCTTAGGAAGACTTAGAAAACGTTCCTTTTCGTTTAGGTAGCTTGTTTACAGGAGGGCATTGGTCTGCGAGTTTGCAGGGACAGTTCAGACAAAGGAGGTGGTGGAAGAGCGCAAAACTAATTCATGGTGGAGGAGGTCTTAACCTGCATTTCGGAATCGGCAGGTTTGTTCCCGAAATCCCAGACTTAACGCTGCATTGGATCTGGAAGGATGAAGGCCCTTTTCTAAAACGTGCCGTTTTTCTTAAGTGGCAAGTGGGAGGAGGGTGGTAGAGGAAAATGGGCATCTTCCCTGTTGCTTTTGGCTCCTGTTCTGCCCCAGTAGTTTTACTGTAATTTGACGCCTGAAAATCTTATATTATGAAGAATCTGATACCAATTGGAACTAGTAGCCAAGTCTTCAGGGCACGGGTGCTGACTAAAGGGGAAATAGATAAAATTTTCAAGAATTGTTTTTGAAGCTATTTGGCTTATGGCGATGTCTTCCTATAAACACGGGCTCCGTTTAATTATTTGACATAAAACGTATATTTGTATAAATTACTGGTCATGGTTTAGTGGAACCTTTTTTCCCTTTTGATATTTTTGTGGGGTTTTTTATCCCCCGACTGCGAACTTTTTGGAAAATGTCTGCTATCTTCTCCACCCCCACACTCATCCTGAGAATGCTGAGAGGGGATTTTTTTTTTAAAGCTGCTATTCATGTTAAGATGACCTAAACAAGGCAGTCTAAATAAGGTAATGATGTTTGTTTTTATACTCTAAAATTTTAAAACATCATGCCTCTTCTGAGATCTGTCTTTGTGTTTTCAAGTGGTAAGCTGTCTGTATACTGGCTGAGGAAAAAGAATCACGTAGGGCTTTCACGGTAGCTTGCCCCCGATTTAGACATGCCTTTTAAAAGTTCATTTTTACACCAACGGTCAGGTGCTTACAGTGCATTCTCATCTCCACTTTGTTAAAAATGGCAGGGTCCCAGCTTGCAGGCAGAAACAACTTTGGTCTTTGGTTCATTTGGTAAATATTTGCGTGCCTGTTCTGTGCCAGTCACTGTAGTTGGATCACATAATGTTGCCAAACTATGGCACTAACAATGGTAGCCTATTTTCTGGTGCAGAGAACTGTGGTGAGGGTCACGTGGAAGGGGAGGAAGAGGAAGAGATGCAAGCTGTTCTGGAGCAAGAGCTGGCCCTGTGCAGTGTTTTGAAATCCGTGGTTTGTCTTTGGGGCTTGGGTCCCTCAGGCACCCCAAATCCAGGATCGCCACTTTAGACTCTTGCCTCCAAAGTGTCCCATGTTTTAAAACTACTTGTTGCTTGTTTGTCATCCCTAAACAAAAGCCACGTCTTTGAGAATGCTTGTTTTAGGTGTTTGAACAAAGGGTGTTGGGAATTAACATGCAACCGATGTGTGGAGGGTTAGTCCTCATGCCTTATCCCTGGGGAAGTAGCATCACTGTGCGATTAAAGGTTCTGAGTCGTACTGTACATACACAGCGTGACACCAGGAAAGCACTGTGTGACACTGGGAAAATAAATTGGCTGCGTAACCTCAGTGTCCTCCACAAAATGAAATGATGACATATTTACCTCACAAGATTGTTGAGAGGTGTGAATGGTTCCCGCATGCTTAAAACGAGGAGACTTGTCAATCTGAATAAATGTCTAAATTGGTGACATTTTAGACACCCCTCAACGTGAACACGTCACAGCACGTCACAGCACGTCACAGCAGTGCGTAAAGTGAGGTCAGTTCCCTTCAATGTCTATCTTCTCTTCCTCTTCTCCATTCTCTAGGAGCTCATTTTCTTTTTGCACAACATGAGATTGCTCCATGTTTTCTCATGATGTGAGTGGGCGAGGTCCTACAGGTGGTTGGGGTCTGACTTCCTGCGGAGGGGTCTGCACAGGTAGTTGCTTTCAGCTCAGCAAATACTGATTGAAATCCTGTGTACCACTGGGCAGGTGAAGGGGCAACAGCAGTGAACAAAACATAAAAATAATCCCTCTTCTTCCTGAAGCACTAGTTAGGGCCTTTATACATCAGTGTACCTGTAAATCATGAAATCCCAAGACATTTTCCTACTTTTGCAGCAGGAACGTGGGAAAGTGTATCTTAAAAACAACAGTAGTGGTATAACTCTGTTAAAATTACTTACATTACATCAATTATACTTAAGTTAAAAAAAATAAAGTGGCTATTCTTGATTTAGTGAATTTCAAAATTTTATATTTTAAGAAAAAATATTGCAATTCTTATGACCTCTATGCTCATAATTTTGAATTGAAGAGAATCTTAGCATGTTTATTGAGGACTTCCTGTGTGTTGACAGTAAACAAAGTGATGTTCAAATTACAAAACAAAAGATGTTATGAGAGAATTCCTGGCCAAAAAAAAAAAAAGCAGCTGTGGGCAATAGATGCGAAATTTTTTTCCCTTTCTTCTTTTTTTTAAGTAGGCTCTACACGCAATGTGGGGCTTGAACTCACAACCCTGGGATCAAGAGTAAGAGTTGTATACTCTACCAACTGAAGCCAGCCAGATGTCCCTAGATGTGAAATTAAGGAAGGTGCATTTTTGAGGATAAGTGTTTGGTAGTAATGAACGTGAAGACAAAATAACTTCACATTTCCCTAGAACTTAACATGATGACTCCTTTTAAATCTCTGACTTGGTTTGTGATATATTAGAAACCTTTCTTATTTCGTAGTGCTACTGTCAATTAGGCATGTATGAATTACTGAATGAAATTTATCCTACACCTTTAAAGGACAAATAGGCAGCTTTTTTTTTTTTTTTTTTTTTAAGATGCTTCGGTATTTCCAAAGTACGTTTTTGGAAAGTGTTTAAGTTTGTAAAACAATAAATAAATAAGTGTGGTACTTTGAAAATATATTCTTTGTCATTACATAGAATGTAGATTTGAATGGAATGGGGAGTTATTTGTTTGGTGTTAGCAGACTTCATATGTTAACTGATAAAGAATTCATTTTTAGCAATAGGTCTTTGAAGGAACATATCTTGTATTTATTTGCAGATTATAGATCCTTTCTTGTTACTAATTTACTCAAAGAGTGAGCATAGAACTAGAATCAGATGTAAACTAGCAGACATTGTAAATGTGCTCTCTATGTTTGTGCACATTAACTTTTTGTCTCAGCCTGGAGTGGGGGTTGGGCAGGAGAAGGCCCAGTGTTGATGTCATTGTATGTGCAGATGTGCTGGTGGGAAGAATCTGGTATCAGCCATTTTTTGCTTTGCATAAAAATTTTGAGGATTGGATGTTATATCCTTGACAGTTTTACTAAATGATCAGTTTCTGCGGGGTGGGGGGAGTGGGGCATGTTGCTGACCGTACGTACAAAAAAAACGAACGATGACAACAACAAAAACTTAGGTTTTTAAGTTTAATAAAGTGGTTCTTTCAGATGAATCCATTAAACCTGAGTGCGATTTTTAAAATTCTGGTAAAGAGTAAAGGAGATTGATGTGGAAAAAAGACCTTAGATGAAAGCTGTCATGTAACGTTAGAATTCATAATGGCAAAGGCAAGGGCTACTAGGTATAGTTAGAGATTTCAAAATACTCAGAGAAAAATAGGTGTGATCCTGGGAGTAAGGACTCTGAAAGGAAAGAGAATTCAAAAGGAGCTAGAGGTTCTAAAAACTGGACTTTAACATAACTAACCAGACAGGCAGATAAAGGAAATACATACAATATGTTATATTTATACTGAATTTTACAATTGAGAAAATGGTGTCTCACACTGATGATCCATTGACATATAAATATTGAATATTTTTTAAAAAACATTTGACCTCCCCACCAAACATTCTTCTGCTACCATCTCATTCTCTATTTTTCTTAATGGCAAAGCTTCCCATAAGGGTTGTCCATACTTGCTGCCTTCAGTTTTTCCTTCTGCTGTTCTTCACATTGTGAAGATCGTTGATGGCTGTGCTGGTGATTTTGATAAAGACATGGCATATTTAAATAATTTATTTGACCTGCTGAATCCCTGGGATCTCAGTGTGTGGAATGGTGGGTTAAAACTAAGAAAAAAGTGAATAGGAATAAATACATAACCCTGAATTTGGGGTGAAAAACAAAATCACCCGTATTAAAGGGAGTTGAATGGAGATCAAGGTTAGCTGCCTGTCAAAGGACAGGCCCTCTCCAGTTTTCTTGAATTTGGATCCTGGGCAGCACTGGCCCTGCTTCATAGAGGCCAGGCATACCACTAGTTTATGTTTAGTTCTGAATATGAGTTTTAAAAGATGGACAAATCATAGAGCACCATTTTGAATGTTATAAAAGAAAAATCCTTCATTTGAAGGAAGGTTAGATTAAATGACTTCTAAGTTTCCTCCACCCTTTTTTTTATTATTTTTTTTTATGTTTTATTTATTTCTAGGAGAGAGAGAGAGAGACAGCATGAGCAGGGGAGGGTCAGAGAGAGAGGGAGTCACAGACCGAAACAGGCTCCAGGCTCCGAGCTGGCAGTCAGCACAGAGCCCGACGCGGGGCTCGAACCCACGAACCGCGAGATCATGACCTAAGCGAAAGTCGGACGCTTAACCGACTAAGCCACCCAGGCGCCCCTCCACCCTTTTTTTTTTTTTAATGTTTTATTTAAATTTGAGAGAGAGAGACAGTGTGAGCAGGGGAGGGACAGAGAGAGAGGGAGACACAGAATCTGTGGCAGGCTCCAGGCTCTGAGCTGTCCGCACAGAGCCTGATACGGGGCTTGAACTCACAAACTGCGAGGTCATGACCTGAGCC